CAGGTCCTCACAGAAGCTGGTTCTCCCCCTCCCAATACACACACACAACCCCCCCCCCGCCCAGTCCCCATCTTCCTACATCACTTCCCATCTCCCCCGAGATCCCTGCTCTGGAATTTCACTCATGGGGAAGAATCTTGCTGCAGGCACTAAATATGTCGCCCGCGTCTGACTCTAACCCATCAGAGCCTGAGAGACAGAGAGAGAAATAAAGGAAGAAAGAGAAAGAAAGTGTTGCTCCTCCCTTTCCTGCCTCCACCTGGGATCTCTGCCGCTACAGAAAAACAAGGGAGCAGCCTACCTTGTCACCTTGTTACTCAAGACATGTGGGGCAGGCCACTAATGACCTTCTGCACTGGGCGGTGAATCTGCTGGTTTTACCAGCAGTCCTGCAAACATCAGTTTTGTCTGCAACTTGAATACACAGCAACGCCTTGACTTCAAGGAGTTTTAGCTGAAGAGCAACATTGTGCACAAGAAGAAAACACTGCTACTGGGTCAGAAAACTATTGACTGAGCTAAAAAGAAGGTAGCTTTGTTATTACTGACCCACAGACAGGTGAGACTCGCATAATTAAATTTCTTGTTTGAGTATTTTTGCAGCTCACTATCTCTTTCTCGGTCTATGCACACACAAAGTAAGCAACACTGAGTTCTGATGCTTTAAGGACATAGTAAGGACTAATATGGGTTATTTAACTGCACGTTGTGATAGTCCTGGTGCTACTAAATCCAGAAACCCATAGGACAAGGTCTAAGAGTTGGACCAAGGTGCATTCAGGTGGCTTCGGGATAGAGGTGCAGGTCTTGTACTACATAGAAATCCCGAATGAACACAGACTCCCACACTCCCCTACCGCGCACCGCGATGAGACGATTACTTTGCAATCCATCAGCAATGCCAGTTAATTCAAAGTGAGGAGGACACTTTTAAAATCCACGTGCAATGACGGCAGAAGGAAAAAACGTTTAGGCTGGAAAGAGGCAGCGCTGGAGACAAACACTCGCCTGACATATCCGAGGCTAGAGCTCTCGACGACACACTGAGGACGGCAGCCTTAACAGCAGAAATTACCACGAGAGCTGCTGCTCTCCTTTGAAAACGCTATATGCAAACTAAATAAATAAATACATAAATAAATAAGAGATCTGTGCATAAATCTCTATTAAGTTTCTTCTTGGAAATGTTTCCAGCGTGTTCTGTATCACCATGGCAACACATTTTCCAGAATTTTTCCCAAGTGCCTTAGCAACTCAGACACTGGACGCTATGCAAGGAAGAGTCTATCACAGCCAAAGACTTTCAGATCTGTCAGTGGGAACTGCTGTTTCTTACTGTAAGCGACAGGGAAGATCAAGCTGACAAGAGCAAACCCCAGCACGGGAGCAAGGACTTAAAGTAAACTTAACAAACGTATTAACCTTGGGGGGAAAAATGCTTATTTCTCCTCAGATTTTCCATTGAACAAACCGATGCAGTTATTGATGCCTGACCATTCTTTTGCTGATTTCTCATTCTACAATGAGCTTCCACACAATCTTTAAAAATAACATAAAAATAAGTTAAAATGGCAACATATAGCTCAATATTTGTCATGGTGATCCTTGTAAAGACTGACAGTCCTAAAATATAATTAAATAATCTTTACATTTATACAGTGCTTTTTTTGGACACTCCTCCCAGTTTGCTTTTGCATGTGAATCACACCCACAAAACGTCTAGTAATGTCATGTGGCCCCTTGAAAGTTTAATGTAGGAGTTCTGCATTTTTCTGTGGTTCTACAATAGTTCTGCTGTAGATTAAATATACCTTCACAAATCCTAATTATATTGGACTAGGTGAAACATTCGTGTACTGCAATAAACAGAAAGATTTGATCTGGTCATGGTATTTCAGTGGTACAGCCAATGCATGTTTAAACTGTAGCATGCCAGAAAACTAGGTTTAGACCACAGTAAAGCTACACTAAAACTGAAAATCCTACAGAGCATTTTCGGAGGTAGACATTCAAGAGGGAGGGCTCAAGCAGTCCATGGAAGACAAGGGATGGCGAACCACATTTCACTGTCACGGTAGTGAAGAGCCATGGATGAGCCCCACTAGGTTTCTGTCAGTGTGGCCCTTTCAAGGATACACAACCACTGAGCTTCACAGCAATCATTGTGATGTTTTCTCCTAATGATTGTAACTACTGCAAGAAAAAATAAATCACGCTTGTTTGTTGTTAGGCCTGTCAAGACAACCACGGTGTATTTTATTAGGAGGTAGCAAAATGTAAACCAAGGCTTCCATGGTTACCACTCTGGGCAAAAAGCTTCAAGGAAATCTGTTCTCACATGCTTAAAATGGACCTGGAAAAGCTGCAAACCCTTCTGAAAGTCCTTGAACCCGGGCCAGTTTGGTCAGAAACTCCTATAACTCCATCTGAGCTGAATATTACATTGAAACATCGATGTGAATATTGAGCAGGAATTTTTTTTTTAATTACTACATAATCCTAAAACCAGACATCTGAAAAAGTGTGACACCGACGCCTTGAGCTCCCCCTCATCTCATTCGAGTTTCGCTGTGGTGTACTCTAAAAACAACGCACTCAGTCGCGAGACATGCAGGCAATACCTGCCCTGCCTCCAGTCTGCCGAACCTCCAGTAATCTCGTCTCCAGATGACCCCTGGTACGTGGCTAAACCCTGGACATCTGTGATCAGCAGAGTGCCAGTTCTGCGTGGCATGACTGCCATAGCTCTGACAGAGTAAACAACCCACAGAAACCAGAGCATTCCAGTCAGCTGTATCACCAGGCAAGGCGAAAACAAACCATCAATAATGCCCAATGCCTTTTGTGACAGAAACCCAAGTAGACAGGTTCCTTCTTCTTCCAATTAGAAGCAATGTCATTTCCAGACCCTTTGTCAATCTGAATGCTAAGGTTAGAATGTCCAGTATGATTATTGTATGAGACACCCATCAATGCCACACTTTCTGACCTTTTTATGGATAATACAGTAATTTGCCACTCTTATATTGAGATAAAGAAAAAAAATATTATTTATAGATTACAATAATTAATACTGCCTTCATTCTAATTGCCTTCATTTACCTGTCGTAATTTTGCACAGTGCAGCTTCAATATACTAAATCACTGAAATCTGCCATATTGTTATACTTTTATTTAGGATATTGTCTCCTAATACCGTTTCTGCATAGGCTCAGAATAACAGTTTAACAAGAAGTTAAATACAATATACTGCAGAACAATCCTGAGATATTTAATCTAACATGAGATCCAGTATTTTTTTTTTAATTGCATATACAGTACGCCTGTGTTTTTTTCACGCATGTGCTGCAGTTTAGCACTGAATGTTGCAGGTGTAATTAGCAAATAAATCTTGTATGTACATGGTGTCTGACTGTCTTCATGTGGAGCAAAAGGGATGTATGTTATGTTTAAATCTACAAACAGTTTGTACCAGTGGTTTGGTTTGGTACAAATGAGAATTACACATGGCTTGCATGATCAAGTGAGGCGTTTGAAAGAACACATGCATGTGCGCTGGTTTGTATTCAGCAGTTATTATGCAGTATAGTTTAAGTCTAGCACGCTCATAACGAGCTCTGTTTGCAACAGAGTGTGTGTGTGCAGCTGTGCGTGTCTGCATGTTCGCCCAAGCTTGTGTGTACCTGTATGTGCTTAAGCATGTGAATGAACGCCCTCCGACTCGCAGAGCCCGGACCATAAGATTGATCTTCCAAAACAAAGTACAAATACAATATCTTTTTCTTCCCCCGGATCAATTCCAACACGCTACATTCATTTATTTGTGTTGTTGTGGGGTTTTTTTTTTAAGGAAAAAGCGGCAGAAATCTGTGAATTTCCAGAAAGAAGCAGACAATGTGATCTTGGCACAGTCGGAGCTGGGTGCCACAGGGAATTGAGTGCCACATGGTACCCAGAGCGGGGGGCAGCCGGGAGGGGGGGGGGGCACGCGGGGAGGAACCACGTTTGCATCTTAAATTCCACAACATCTGTTCACTGCGCGCAGCAAGACCGGGTTGTTGCAGGCACTTTAATTAGGAGTAGATTGAGACTAATTTTTAACAATAACTCAGGTAGTCAAAAGCCTTTCCCTACAGTGCATCTCTTGCCATTGAACCCCAGGCAGCCTGCCCCTGGCACAGTGCATTTGGACAGTACAGGTCGGTCCCATCCAGGCGCAGCCCACCACTGATCCAGGCCCGGGAACAGATCCACTGCTGGCTGAAGAACCAGGGTGTCTCTGTGGTGTGTCCTGTCCCCTGGCCGGTCCCCTGGGTGTAAGTGTGTTTCACGTGCATGTTTGGGTGTGATTTTTCAGTGCTGTGCAAGATGATCAAGGGGTGGCAGAGATATTTGTATTGTTTTCCTGTCAAATTGAGGATCTGGCTCTTGGTCATCCTTCATTACCTCTGTGGTCGTATTTCCCCCTTCTGTCCTCTGCCTCCCATTTGGGTCTAGAAGTGGTGCAGAGCTCATAACATATGTATAGCGGCCAAGGGTATATAAGCAGTAGTATGCACTTCTTTAGCAAATAATGTAATGAACCAGCAACTGGTCCCACTGTTAATCTTTTAAAAATGTGATAATTTCCCATACTCCCATACCACACACTCAACAGCACTCACACACACTTAAATGTCCAGTTTGTCTACTAAAGCCAACTAACACACAAACAGATTATCATGTTCTTGCAAACTACACAAACTCACACAGAGACGCACACAGCTGGCACCCATCTGTTTCAAGGGAGCGTTAATGCGAAAGAAGGAAAATCTCCTCTTCTCTCAGGATAAATTATTTTCTTTGAAAGTCTCCAAGAATCACCGCAATATACAATACAAAGAGCAGCGTTGTCACAGGTACTAGAACTCTGGGAAAACTTCAGAAAGGAAAGCGGTTCACTGAATGAAGTGAGAGAAAACAAGAATTTGGGCTAGTATCACAGAAGACCTCTGACTAACCTCATGACCATCCTGGCTGTGCTTTGCTGGTCTCCTGGGACAGCTTGGTTTGGCTCACAGGCAGGGGGCTCCTTGGCATTCTGGGGGGCTGTTGTTCAGTGGGAGTGAGGGCACAGAGAGATCCACACTGGCCACATCATGCCCCGGACCTGGGATAACAAAATCAGAATTAAACCTGATGACTGGCCCTTACCATTATAAAAATGACCCAGACACCCTCACTGGCACCTACACTAAGAATTCCACATTCTCAAAGAAAACAGAACCTGTCCGTGCCAGTATGTGCCTGTGTCAAAGCATAATTAAATTCTCCAAGGAATTTTACATTTAGACTTTACCATGCCGATGCTAGTGACAGAGATGAGATTTTGTTAATGCAGTTTCTCCTTCAATGCTGTATATGCCTGACTCCTGATCACTTCCAGAGCACTGGCCAATAGGTTGCACTTTGTAGCAGCCTGCGTCTTTGTACATAAAAGCCCTCATGACTTCATATTTTATCGTTTTCTTTCTTCTAACCCCTAGACTTTTATTGCGGAAAAGGGTTCTGTGGATGCTTACTGCACGTTCAGGACTCATTCTGGAATTTCTAGCAGAACTACTGTATACAAGGCTGTGGGGTCATTCAAGCTTCAAGCTCACAATGTGTCACTGAGGATTTAAGGTTCCTCCTGCTCACCCCAGCCCCCCCTCACCATCCTTCCCTCTATCAATGCCTGCTGGCACTTTGGGAGTAGCGCCCCCCCCCTCACACACACACACACACTTCCAAACCCCTCAATGCCAGGATGGCAGCCGACATTCCTCCTCTCGCAGTGTGGCGTGCCATCTGCTGCCATCCCAAAACCGTCTCTGCAGATAACTACCCACAAGCCACCTCTCCCTCAGCTCAGCACAGCACCAAACAGGAGGCTTTCGCGCGGATCACTTCACCCCCGATACACCCGCCAGACACACAGCACAGAGACACTCACGGCACCGAGACTCCAGCGCACACACACATGCACGCGCACACATGTACAGCTCGGAGACAGAGAGACACAGGGATCTAAACACATACAGCGGAGATGAGGAGACAGGCGTACAGCCTGGAGAAAGAGACCCGCGCTACACTGACCACACACGCAGCAGACGCTGGAGCCCAGTGGTCCACAAACTCAGATTTAGGGACCCTGGGTGTCCGCAGGGGATGAGCTAGGTAGGCTTCAGAAAAGCAACACGTCTCCACGAAAGAGCGAATCACCAAAACTATGACGAAAATCAGGGCTGGTCTCCCAGGGCTGACAGAAATGGCTGAACCACTCTTACGAGCGCTCCACTGTAAAATTTCAAGAAATTCGTTCCCTTCTGATTTTATTTTAAATGAAAAGGAAGTGTTGAAAGGTGGAGGCTGAAAAAGGGGTACCCTACCAACAAGCTGAGCCTGGCGCCTTGTGAGACGCTTGGCAATCTCAGCTTACATACTAATACAAAACACAGAGACTTTAACACAAGGCACCAAGAAAGAAATGTATGCACCTCAAGATAAGAGCACCCTGATAAAGACATACCTGCACACACACAAAATTGCCAGCATGGAGAAAGGGAGAAATGCTTTTAAAAAAAGCCCTCATATACATTTCAGGTACAGAGACGTGACCACACATACACACACCCATTCAACCCAGGTTAATGACACATGAGTCTTACAGAAATGCACTCATAAACTGTTCCCACCAGTAGGGCGGCGCTGCTTCACTCTTCCTTTCCCTCCTTCCCAAGCTTCTCAGCTTGAACCTATACAAGTCTGGTCATCCCCCTCCCAGTCCTCCAACCTCAACCCTCACAGTCACTTTGCTTTATCACTTAGGGGCAGACAACTGTTTTTGGGGGGTCCCTGCGTAAGGGGTCAGGAGATCGCAGAACAGAGCGAGTGATCACTGCCAGTCCTTGCGGCGCTACTCTGACAGAAGCCGCCATCGCTGTCAGCTGCTCCGAGCAGGTCCACAGCAGGTTCAGTTCATGAATGTTTAACCTGAGACAGGAAAGCACTAATGAAGTTTTAAATGCTTCCCGCACTTTGAGATAAAAAATGAATGAACGCCAAAAGGGCAATTAAATATTTTGAGCGCCTCTGTTTTAAAGCATCCCTGGATGCCGAATATCAAACCAGCTGCCACCCAGAGCCGGGACTGGCAGGTAGAGTGGAGAATGAAATGCATGTGCTTCTGGTGTGAAGGCATGTTCGTGTTGTGGGGGGGGGGAACTGAGCAAATGTTTGCATGTATGCATGCGATATTTGCACAGTAAAAGCCTGTGCTTGTTTAGAGAGGATTGAGTCTCCGCAAGCAGGTGATCACACAGATGTGTGTGAGTGTGCATGTGTGCATGTGTACTGTTCAAGATGTGTGCCTGTTCAGGAATTTGAAAATGTGCACTGGCATGTGTGTAAATGCTTGTAAATACTGAAAGCCATCAAAATCCATTTAAGATCATGTTCACCGTACAGTAAATTAACATGTAGAGAACATTTTAGTCCACACGTAGCTATGTGCAAAATGCAGATCTAAATCCATTACATTTAAAACCTTTGTTTTTTTATGATAAGAGTGGCTTGGTCACGGCAGTGCTGTACTATATTTTGTGAAATACACAAATTAACGTAATGAAGTAATGACTTGTAATTGTATAAGTAGTTTTTTACTCCTAGAGCTGTATTAGTCAGTATTTAAAAATCTGATAGTATAGCTTTATGACCCCATATCTGAAATTTAGCAGAACATGTCACCCATGTCTGAACTTTACTAGTGCTGTGCCACTGTTGATTTGTTTGCTCTAGGAAAACTAAAAACGAATACGTGGCCAACGTATAGAATAAAGGTTCGATGTTGGTCTCATCGGGACTCTTTGCAAAAGGTAAAAAAAAAATCAAGAACTTGCACACTGCTAATAAGAGAGCTTGCTGTACAGTTTAAAAACACAAGTGGAAAAAAACAAAAACTGGTGCAGTAAGTGTAATGGAGCTTGTGAGAGACAAGTTGCCAAAAAGCTGTGTTTGTGTGTAATTGATTCTCAATTTGGGATGGAGTGAGGGAGTGATGTGATGCTATTCATCTTGCATCGGTTTGAGACTGCAGCTGACACCCTATCGATCACCGTGCGCAACATTAACTCTTTGGAGCCGAACCAAGCTTTGCAGCAGAAACCTTGTCTCTTTCTAATTTAACCCCTCAACCGCCAGAGGCTGGCCCCTCTCCAAGCGGCCTTTGTTAAACCACAGTGCTCCCAGGAGGTCCGAAGTTCACATCAGTCACGCCTCACTCCTGTGCACCGGCCAGCTCATGGCACACAGCCACTGATGCTCCTGAGACCTCATTGGACAGACTGCTCTGCCCACTTCAGCAACAAGCCCCGTGATTGGTAATCTCAGACCTTCTCTAGGTGGGCGGGGACATGTGAGTCACTGCCATTTTTTTTTTTGTCTGCTGACGAAGAGGCCTGCGATTTTTCTCTTTTTTTCTCTGCTAACACCATATTGGCAACCATGCTAGCAGAGCAGCCCGAGAACACTGCTGAAGTTGGGCACCAGATTGATGATGGCCACCCCACGTCAGAGGAGAAAACAGTTCGGCATTCGCTGTCATCACAGCTCATTTTCGTCCACATCACAGAGGACATGTCCTTATAATGTACTTACTAAATGATGGCTTAAGCCTGCATGTTATTTACGGTTTCCTGTAAAGGTAACAAATGTAGCATGGTGTTATCCATTAGCTGTCTGACACCGTGCATCTTAATTACCTTTCATCTGAAATTCATTACGTGGCTGAAAGTCACACTCTCTGTGCTGTACTTTCTGAAACCATTCAAACTACCCGGTTTGTGGTAAGGACGATAGCGATAATAAGCGTTAGTCATGTATCCATATTTCCTGCTAAAAGGGGGACACAGTTACAAGGATTCTGTGCTGGAATTACTTCTCACAATGTCACGGGTGCATGCTGGCCCTGTGTTGGGGGTTAGATAATGCCTGGTGGCTGTGCTGTTGTATAGGAAGAGCTGCTAAGCTCAGAACCAGGCTCGGTACTGCCGATAGGGAAAACAATAACACGATCTGATAGCCTGGGCTCAAATAGGTTTACTTTACAAAATGCTCTTCTCTGCTTTGCAGCTTCAAATAAAACATGAAACTGGTACACTATGTTTAAGTTCAAGTATATAGCATGTACGCTGCTGCTTGATGGTCTAAGGCATCTTTTACTGTTCTGCTCTTTTCACTCAGTATTTTCCTTTTCTGTGAGGAAACGATGCTAAGGTGGTCAAACATTTTAGTCATTTTGTTTTACATGACAATTAATGCTGACACACTGATGCTGATGTGTTCTGTAGTAGGAGAAGGCAGTCTTTTGCCTTTGTGGACTGTTGTATAGAGCAATAAATGTGGTTAAATGATGAGGAACACCAGACAATATGTCAATTGGTTTGACTGGTAAATGTGATGGATTAGTTACTCTAATATTTATTAGAGTAACTGAAATAGCTGATGTGTGGTGAGCGTTCTGGCGCACTATGGCTGCCGTCGCATCATCCAGGTGGGGCTGCACATGGGTGGTGGTGGAGGGGATCCCCATTACCTGTAAAGCGCTTTGAGTGGAGTGCCCAGAAAAGCGCTATATAAGTGTAAGCAATTATTATTATTATTATTATTATTATTATTATTATTATTATTATTGGCAGATCATAAATAGTTCACCTTAAGGTGTCATGGCTACATTTTTAAACATTTTGATCAATGTGAACTAAACGTTGACAAACTACACCCTTGATTTCTTTTCAACCAAACGTTGTTATACTAAATAACTAGGTTGTTATAAGAGTAAAAACACTACAAGTGGCTCTAAAGAAATCGTTGACCCTCATAACACACATGTATTAGAACTAGATTTGTTGCAAAACTTAACCATTTTCACCACTTATTTTTTTTTAAAGGTGCCACCTTTGCACTGACTTGTATAAAAGCAGGAGTGAACTTTGGTTAGGACACCGAGCGTTTTAAAATCACCTCGTTAGTCAGCATCTGTCGAGCACATTTAGAAGCAGTGTGGAGACAAAAGATGCCAGTGATTGATGGGCACCGAGACTCAACTCCCCTTTGACCCCCTAAGTGAGC